GAGCCTTTTTTGAAGGTCATCCCTTTATCTTTCCAAACAGGGAAGCCAAGCCGATCTCAACACAGTCGCATCAGCAGTATTTGCTCTTACATTAATGGCAAACTGAATAGGATGTGGCTTTGTCCCTCACTGGGGTTCCCCCCCCCGCGCCCTATAAACAAACAAAAAACTACTCCCATCAAACCATAATACAAAAGGCACGCGCGGTGCAACACCTGTCAGACCCTTCTGGTTCCCCACCCCCTCCAAAGATGTGACAACTGGGGACAAATGGAAACGCCTCTCAGTGGAAATAACTTCCTGCTGTCAAACCCAACTTCGGAGTTAGGAAATGCCTGGTCATCTATTGGAAATGGAGCCTTCAGTGGACATACGGGGGATTGATGTCCACCAAGCGTTTGAGAGTGTGTTCCTGATGAAAATTCAGGGCCACTAGTTGTAACAATTACTCAACATGCTGTTTGGGCAGCGGAAATCGCTGATCGTGCTTGCCTTCCATCAAGTTTGGCAGAAAGTCACGCGAGCAAGCTGGGCTGATGGCCGCCAAAGACAGCGGGTACGGCCTCAGCAGTCAGACAGAACTGTCTGGCATTGGATTCGTTGGGTGCAGAATGCTTCAGATCTGACCAATCCGAAAGCTGATGTTTAAGATTGCCCGGGGAAGAAAAGCCTCGACTGCAGCTCGTGCTTCGTCTTTGCAAGAAAGTGTCTACCCAGAAAATGAGGGCCTTTGGATTAAACAACACCACAAGGAGCGTACCCTCAAACAAACAAAAAAACACGCCCAGGTTGAGACTTCGTCCTATCAACATGTGTGGGTGAGCGTGCCCCGCCCACACGCACACGGCGTAAAAGTGGGTGTTCTCCATCAGTTTGGGTTTTTTTTTGTGGGGGGGGGTCCAAAACAAAGAGAGTTTGGACCCCCAAAGCTGGCTTCCAATTCGCTCAGCACCGAGCTCCACCTTCCCTGCGACCATGAGAGGCGGCGGAAACTTGCCCAGGCCCGAGGCCTGCGACGCGACCGAAAGCGCGCGCAGTGGACCCAGGTCGGACCTGCCAAAAACATGTTCCGAGAATCGTTTTTTTAGGGGGTGATGGGGAAACATGATCTCCTGACATGCGTGCTTGTTGCCACAGCCGTGTTGACAATTACCCACGTGCAGCAGGTGTTGCTCATCCCCTAAGATTATGAAGAAACATGAAACATTCAAAAAATACAACAAAACATCATTATTTGGATCCACAAAGGTACAATCCAAAAGTACACATGGTGGTAGCCTGTATGAACCGTTTGCTTATTCGGCGCCGCTGGCCAGTGCTTTGCCGGCCTCCAAATTTGGCTCCAGCTTGCCGTCCGACGCCTGGAGCGCCGCTCAATGACGTGCTTCACATCATCTCCCTGTCTGCTCCTCAAACATCAAACCACCCACATCGAATGTAACCTTTCCTAGTTGTAGTACTGGTCTCACGAGTTAAGTTTGCAATCAAGTAAAGAGAAGTGAGCCTACTCTCTCATTTGTTTCAAGAGCGGATGGCTCTGCGTTGGCCCGCAACCCGCCGAATCCAAGCCTCCCCGTATGCCCCCCCTTTAACATGACCCTACCAAATTGGCCCCTAAGGCGACCTTTAAGCCCCCCGAGAGAAGTCTGGAAACCGAAGGAACCACCCCGGGACCTCCGTGATCATGTCTTGCGGCAAGAGGTCGGCCGCCGAGACCTCCGGGTCCAAGGCAACCTGATCGAACCCGAATCGAGCGGACCCGTGAGGTGGACAAATCATTTAGGGGTGGGTCAAAAATAGGGTAACCCCAAAATGGGTTGTTCTGGTAAATGGAAACAAAGACTAAAAACCTGCGGTCCATATCCTGGTGGCTTGATTTTGACTCATACCCATTTAGGGGGTGATTCATGTTCACCACTTGTGAGGTGGCGCCCTATTAAACTGCATAGCCTTGGGCCATATGGGCATGTGTTTCTGGAGGGTTTCAAGAGAGCTTAAAGGAGAACCACTTGTGTTTTTGGGGTCCCATTTTGAGTCAACATAGGGAACCCCTGAACTGCATGTTTCTTGCTTGGCTTCGCTTTTCACCGCAAAAAAGGCATCCTCGAAAAACAAGCCCCCATTTCAGGGGAACCCGGAAGTACCAGTAAATAAACAAGGGATCTGGGATCAGGAGTAAAGGACCTTCTATCATTGGTGAGCCTGTTTACCCCGAGGTGAATCGTTATAGTTTGCCCAAAATGTGTGTGTGTGGATACATATTATAAATATATATATATATAGTTTGTGTATATGTATATATATATATAGTCAACATTTCCCGGCAAATCAGTGAAGTCTTGGCGGATGACTTTGATTCCCCCTTGCCCCCCTCCAAAAAAGGCAGGTTTCCTTTTGGCCTGGTCGAAATATCTATGCTTTAAATGGCCAAGTTGTATCTTTTCAGGAGCTCAGCTTCCAAGCTGCTTGCCGCGGCCGGTTGGGGTCGTGGCCGCCCTTTCCAGGTGCAGCAACAGGCCCCGCACGCGGGCAGCCAAAGCCTGACTTGCTGGTTCGACAGGCAGTGAGTTGAAACTGAACCATCCAAATGGTGTCCTTTAAGGGAATGCCCAAACGGTTTATTCCCTACAGAGAACCAGCAAGTGTCTAGTTCTGGTGTTGTTGAACTCAAGACCCCACCCCCCCCACCCGGATATGTGTCTTTTCTCCAACGAATGGGCTCTGAAATAGCCGCAAAGCCTGGCACTCGCTCAACTCGCTCTTCCCCATACTGTCCTGAAATTGGGAACCAGTGGATCCAATACCAAAAGGAAACTGCTGTATAGATGTGTATCCTTTTGGGGTGTTCATGTCAATTCAGAGCCGCTCCCCCTGCTTCCGCTCCTTCCCGAGCATCCTCAAGCCAGGCACCTCCCGATGAGAGACCTTGCAGCGATGCACTACGATGCCCATTCAACATGCTGGTTTCCTTGGAAGTGGCTTTAGGCTCCTGGCTTTCCTTGACAGTGGGTTTCATACTGGTTTCAATTTAATGTAGGCCCCCAGTTGTGACACACACACACACGCACAAACAAACCAACAAACAAAACAACGCCTAGCCAAGCCACACTGCACTACACCACGCCCAACCAACCAACCAACCAACCAACCGACCGACCGAGCAAGCAAGCAAGCAAGCAAGCAAGCAAGCAAGCAAGCAAGCAAGCAAGCAAGCAAGCAAGCAAGCAAGCAAGCAAGCAAGCAAGCCAGCAAGCCACCAAGCCACCAAGCAACCAAGCAACCAAGCAACCAAGCAACCAAGCAACCAAGCAACCAAGCAAGCAACCAAGCAACCAAGCAACCAAGCAACCAAGCAACCAAGCAAGCAAGCAAGCCACCAAGCCACCAAGCAACCAAGAAAGCAAGCAAGCAAGCAAGCAAGCAACCAAGCAACCAAGCAACCAAGCAACCGAGCAACCGAGCAACCAAGCAACCAAGAAAGCAAGCAACCAACCAAGCAACCAAGCAAGCAAGCAACCAAGCAACCAAGCAACCAAGCAACCAAGCAACCCAGCAACCAAGCAAGCAACCAAGCAAGCAAGCAAGCAACCAAGCAACCAAGCAAGCAACCAAGCAACCAAGCAACCAAGCAAGCAACCAAGCAACCAAGCAACCAAGCAACCAAGCAACCAAGCAACCAAGCAACCAAGCAAGCAACCAAGAAACCAAGCAACCAAGCAAGCAAGCAAGCAAGCAAGCAAGCAAGCAAGCAAGCAAGCAAGCAAGCAAGCAAGCAAGCAAGCAAGCAAGCAACCCAAGCAAGCAAGCAACCAAGCAACCAAGCAACCAAGCAACCAAGCAACCAAGCAACCAAGCAACCAAGCAACCAAGCAACCAAGCAACCAACCAACCAACCAACCAACCAACCAACCAACCAACCAACCAACCAACCAACCAACCAACCAACCAACCAACCAACCAACCAACCAAGCAACCAGCAAACCAGCAAACAAACAAAAAACAATGCAAAGCAACGCAAAGCAAAACAAAACAAAACAAAACCAACAAACGAAACACATAATAAAGCAAAACAACACGAAACAGAACAACACAAAACAAACAAACAAACAAACAAACAAACAAACAAACCAAACAAACCAAACCAACCAAACCAACCAACCAACCAAACAAACAAACAAACAAACAAACAAACAAGCAAGCGAGCAAGCGAGCAAGCGAACGAAAATCTCAGGCGGGCCTTTTTGGTTTTAGATCCTTCAAGGTTTCGGCAGCCCCCACGCCTCTTGGGATGGCCAGGGAAGCAGGTGTGCTGTGGGAGAGGGCGATCTGCCTCGACGCACGGCGGTAGCTTCTCAAGGAAACATGTGTGTGTGTGTGTGCTAAATAAGTGTAGCTTGCCTTTTTGGTTTCCCCTTAGACTTTAAGCCCACCTTTAAGAAGGGTACCTTGAAAAACATGTGATCCCTGGGCAAAGTGACTTGCTCCCCCAAAAGGAACGTGGAAACATTGGGTGGTGAAATTTGGGTCCCCAAACGCCCTCCCCAAACTGACAGTGCGCTCCCAATAATTCTGTCAGTTGATGCCCCTTTTGGAGGAGGTTCCCGCGGCTTCCTCAAAACAACCTTAGATATCACCAAGCCGGTGTCCTTTTGAGGGTACCCTTTGCTGCTTTCAAAGCCACAAACAAACCGAAGCCGATTGAATCTGGGCCCAAATCTTTTGAGCCCAAAGTATTCCCGCCACTCCCAAGTGGCAGCTGCAAGATCGGAACGAGCAACGGCCTCTCGAAACAGAACCAATATCGAAATCCCTCAAGAGATTCAGGCTGGGAATTGTTTTCCTGTTACCGCCCGCAGAATAAGCACTGGCCTCATGGGCTTATCATCCTCCACTCCTGACTGGGCACAACCCCCCAAAAACGGTCAATATCATGCGCCCAGCTGCCCACTTGGAAGGTTCCCAACTTTTGACATGCCGGCTCGCCTGCATTGCCCGTCCATGCCTGGCAGGTTGGTTGTCAAAAAGTGTGTCCAAGAGTTGGCGTCCTGTTGGTTCCCTGTAAAGCATCATCTAAAGCGAGTGAGAGGGTCCCCAATTTGCAGGAAACACGCCGGAATGCATTTAAAGGCCACTTGGCTGAGATGGACGTGTTCCGAAGTGAATCATGCTCAGGTGTATTTTCTGTTGGCTAGACAAATCAATACATTACCCTCTGGGAGACGCCCCAAAATTAGTAAACGGCACTGGCAAAAACATCCCAATTTGCCCCGTGCCTCCAAGCGTACTACAATGGACCCAAACTCATTTTGAGGTACAACCAAACTACCTCATGGCCATGGGAGAATAACGTGTGTGGGTGTGTGATTCAGCCCCGTATGCTCGTCGCCGTTGGCTACCAAAGGACCCCATGTTGTGTGGCCCAAACCAATCCTCGAGCTGCCTCCAGCTGGGGTTGGGCTACAGAAGCGCCACCCCAACCCCCAGCCTTTGCTTTTGCTCAATCCCTGCCCTTCGCCCACCCCTCAGTGCTTGGTTCGCTTGGGTGCTCCAAAAGACCCGGCACAAGGGTAGGCAAACCATTCAAAGGGTGCGGATTTATTTTGGGATTGTTTTTCGTTTTTTTTTTTGGATTTTTTTTTGTTTTTCGTCCGGGCCAGCAAAATGTTGTATTTTACAGCATTTTCTCGCGAAATTGACGCATTTACACTAGCTCGTCAACATCCCCAGCATCGTTTTCAACATCCCCCGCATGTCTGACCAACATCCCTAGCATCACCAACAAATCGTGGGTAACAAAATCCAAAAATGTAGCTGGCGGGTTGACGGGGTCAAAACAATAACGCTTCAAACAGGAGGGCATTTCAATCCCAGCAAAAAAATACAAAAAAACAATTAAGAAAAACAGAGCGGGGTAGTGATGATTCGAACAGGGGTGCAATTAAATCTCTGCAAAAAGTCTAAAAAGTAGCGGGGGGGTTGGGGGGGGGCGGCAGCCCCCCCATGATGTTCGAAGAATTGATGATTCAATTAGGGGTGCAATTAATTAAATCTCTGTAGAAAATCTAAAACGTAGCGGGGGGGTTGGGGGGGCGGCAGCCCCCCCATGATGTCGGAAGAAGTGGTGATTCAAGTAGGGATGCAATGATTCAAGAAAGGGTGTGATAGAATTTAAAAGGCAGCGGTAAGGTTGGCGGGGGTGGCTTCCCCTATGATGTTCGAAGAAATGCATACATACAGACATACACGGACTACACAGATTACCTCAAATGTCGTATTTTGCAGCATTTTCTCGCGAAATTGGACGCTCGAAAAAGTGATAATTCAAACAGGGGTGCAATTCAATCTCTGCCGGGCCAGTAAAGTGTCGTATTTTACAGCATGTTCTCGCGAAATATACCCCGCATGTCCCACCAACATCCCTAGCATCACCCACAAATCGTGTGACGGGGTCAAAGAAATGATGATTCAAGTAGGAGGGCATGTCAATCCCTGTAAAAAAATATAAAAAGTAGCGGGGGGGTTGGGGGGGGGCGGCAGCCCCCCCCACGATGTTGTTTGCAGAAGTGATGATTTGAATAGGGGTATTAAATCTCTGCAAAAAGTCTAAAAAGTAGCGGGGGGGTTGGGGGGGGGCGGCAGCCCCCCCATGATGTTCGAAGAATTGATGATTCAATTAGGGGTGCAATTAATTAAATCTCTGTAGAAAATCTAAAACGTAGCGGGGGGGCGGCAGCCCCCCCATGATGTCGGAAGAAGTGGTGATTCAAGTAGGGGTGCAATGATTCAAGAAAGGGTGTGATAGTGTTCGAAGAAATGCATACATACAGACATACACGGACTACACAGATTACCTAAAATGTCGTATTTTGCAGCATTTTCTCGCGAAATTGGACGCTCGAAAAAGTGATAATTCAAACAGGGGTGCAATTCAATCTCTGCCGGGCCAGTAAAGTGTCGTATTTTACAGCATGTTCTCGCGAAATTGACGCATTTTACACTAGCCCGTCAACATCCCCCGCATGTCCCACCAACATCCCTAGCATCACCCACAAATCGTGTGACGGGGTCAAAGAAATGATGATTCAAGTAGGAGGGCATGTCAATCCCTGTAAAAAAATATAAAAAGCAGCGGGGGGGTTGGGGGGGGGGGCTGCCCCCACGATGTTGTTTGCAGAAGTGATGATTTGAATAGGGGTGCAATTAAATCTCTGCAAAAAGTCTAAAAAGTAGCGGGGGGGTTGGGGGGGGCGGCAGCCCCCCCCATGATGGTCGAAGAATTGATGATTCAACTAGGGGTGCAACCCCCCCATGATGTTCGAAGAATTGATGATTCAACTAGGGGTGCAACTAATTAAATCTCTGCAGAAAATCTAAAACGTAGCGGGGGGGTTGGGGGGGGCGGCAGCCCCCCCCATGATGTCGGAAAAACGCCACCTGCCGAAGAGGAACTGGGAATGCAGAGGATGCGAAAAGCCAAAAAGCCACCAAAAGCCGCATAAGCGAGCAAAAAGCCTAGAAGCCCAGAAGCCGAGAAGCCAAGAAGCCGAAAAGCCGAAAAGCCAAGAAGCCAAGAAGCCAAGAAGCCAAGAAGCCAAGAAGCCAAAAAGCCAAGAAGCCCAGAAGCCGAGAAGCCGAGAAGCCAAGAAGCCAGGAAGCCGAAAAGCCAAGAAGCCAAGAAGCCGAAAAGCCAAGAAGCCAAGAAGCCGAGAAGGCGAGAAGCCAAGAAGCCAAGAAGCCAAGAAGCCGAGAAGCCAAGAAGCCAAGAAGCCAAGAAGCCAAGAAGCCAAGAAGCCAGAAGCGAAAAAAAATCCCAAAAAAAAAACGAAAAAAAATCCTAAAATAAATACCCCTCCCCATTCAAAAGAGTCATCGATTTTGAACACACCATCTGAGTTCTGTCCCCCCCCCTCCCTGGCAGAAGATGAACCTGTAACACAGAACATATGCGAACAAACTGCCCAAAGCACACAATATCCGGGGCTTTATGAAAAACCTGTACCATTTAGGGGAGGTCTACGTAGCAGACCTCATCTTTCTGGACAAATTGTAGTACTGTAGTAAAATAAGGGATCCCTACTTATCATGGGGGACGTCGCAAACTCCCCGCAACCTGATGGCCTCATAAGTTGCCCAAATCCTTAAGAGAACATTAACAAGGGTTCAGGCACATCACAGGGCTATTCTGTTGCTAGCTTCTGGGGCAGAAGTTTGGTACTTTGGGTGTCCCTTTCGTTGAGCACCTGCTTTTTCCGACCCCAACGGATCTTTGGACCCATGGACCACAATGCAATAGCAGTTGCACAAACAGGTCGTGCTGGCTGTAAAGAAAAGCCACCCCCGCCCCCTACGGATGACCCTGGTGCATCACAGCGTCTTCCGTCCTGCGCCAAGATCTGCCCAAAGGATCGGGGCCTTACAATTCGCATGGCGCCGCGAAGAGATGGGTGTGGGTCAAAAATAGGTACCCAGAATGCAACCCTGGTAAATGGAAACATGGACTAAACCTGCGGTCCCTTGGTTAATTTTGCCCCACATCCAAATGAGTGCCATGGCCAAAACTCCGGGGCAAATTGCTTTATGTCACAAACCTGAAGCTGAGAATCCCCAAGTCAGGGACATTCATCACAAGTCAGCTCTCTCGGGGCTTGCCTTTGCGGTGCTTGCTACAAGTTCCCCCCTTTAAACAACCTCCTTTTTCTTTTGCTGGTTGTCCCTCCGGGAACCTCAAACCGGTCGAAACTCCAGGGGCCGTGCCCCTCCTCAGCCTTCACGCCGAAGGCCGACAGCCGGCCTATGCGGGCGGTCGACCCGGATGAACCCTCCTTGTTTATTGTCTCTTTCTCTGAAGGGGGTAGGCTTAAGTACCCTAGGGTACTTAAGTGCTTCATAGCCATGCTGATAACCCACCTAGCGGGTTTTCGAACATGGTAAGTAGGTTATAACCCTGGTTAGTACCCACTTACCAAGAATCCTGCCCCTTCAAGTGGCCGGTCCCCTATGAATCAACCAGGGGGTTGCAGATCTTGTGTTCCTAATGACAAGAGGACATATGGGGGGGGGAGCCAGGTGAACAAATGGGGTTCATGCGAGCAGTCTGTAGTGAGTGCTTTTTGAACAAGTGGTTCGAGTGGATGCAAACTAGTAGGTTGCTAACGGGCCCTTGTCAACGAAATGGGAGGCATCAGAATGAGTGAGACCTGTTTCAGTGAATGTTGAAACGAACCCAACATGGAGGGGTTCGACTATAACATTGATCTACAGGAAGTTGCCGAAAAGCGCTTGCAAAAACATGAAGCTTGCAGGCCACATCGCCCGAAAAGAGAGGAAACCCCTGCAAAGAAGAAAAGCAACCGGTATACCCAGAGTTTTCGCCTACACTAAGTTAGGTTGAACACGTGCTACCTGATTCCTCAATCGGGAAATGCACAGTTCTGCATGGCAAAAGAAATGGAGCCGTGTTTCACATTGACCATTGGTTCCTCGATCGGGGCTCACATGGATGTATCTCACAATGGTGGCCCCCTTTCAGGGATGGTTTCCAAGATGTTCCTCTTCTTCTTGTGTTTTGGGAGTTATTTTGAGAAAGATCTGGCGTTGCTCGCAGGTTTGAGCGCGGGGAAACAAATCTGCAGTGATGAGGGGCCAGAAAAGCTGTGGGGAATCCCCAACAAAGCTGGGTAGTCATAGCCACTAGAGGAAAGAGGCCACGTCTCTGCTTATCAGGGTTGGCAAAGAAATGGCTTGTCGACTTGGATGGTCCAAATAGCTGAGAGGTCCTACTTAACCAACCGCCCAATTTACCCGCAGTGCACCCACAGTTGACCCCCTCAAGCCACCCCAAACAGAACCCACACAACAAATTCACCCCCCAAACCCCGCAGTTTCCCCCTCTTGCAACTGGGATCTCTCCGACTGTCGTCGGTGGTGCCTTCCTCGTCCGCGTCCGCATCAATCAGGCTTTGACGCGCATGTAAGGCCTCCTCCAACGATTGCCTGGCCA